CGGTCACAGCTCAGCCGGAGGCCAAGGCGCCTGACCCCGGTCCTGCTTCCACACGCAGCACTGGAGCAAGCTGGCCACCGTGGCCTGGCCCCTGGCTGCTGGGACCTAGCATGACGGTGACCGGCCTGGCTCCCAGCAGGGACTACCACTCTGCACTTGGCTCAGTTTACTCGCATAGCCCTAGGGGTCCGGTAAAAAAATCCAAGTTAACCCCTCAGCTGTCATGAGAGACACAGCAGAAACACAAATGTCTTTGACAAGCATGGGGAGAGGCTATCTGTCTATTAGCAAGGTTTTGTCGTGTAGGGACCAGCAAATGGCATAATGGTTATTTCTCTGGACTCCTGTGTAGTTGACCACGGTTCGAGTCCTGGACCCAGTGGCTTAAAACTCATGCCAGGCCCATGTGCGTGCATGCTCAAGATCCCAAGAGGAGAGTGTAGGAGAGGGGACTCCATTGCGGCGTGGCCATCCCCCCCGGGGGTGATTTCTTGCTTTCTGTCTCTCTGTCTCTGTCTCTCTGGTACGTGTACATGCTCTACAGCAAAAATCTCTTAAAAAGAAGTGTGCTGCATAACATGGACTATGACAGGCCATGTAAATTACACGGGACTGAGCTGTGCAAGCCCGACCAACCTGCGGCTGACGGGGCTGACTCGCGAAGCCTACCCCGGGGACGAGAGATGAGACGGAGGTTAAAGTCCTTTACTTACTACAACACAGAAGACTTTATTTTTAGACACAGTGGGTTTCGTTTTGTTGACATTTATTCAACTGAAAACAAAGGTCGAGAAGATCGCGTGGTCGCTGACAGAAACACCGGGAAATGACCGACGCTGACCCACAGCCCTGTGTGCTCGCTCCAGCGAGCACTGGGCAGGAACGGAGGGGGTTCCCGGCTGGGTGGAGCAGTCACCTGTGTAGACGGCTTAGCTCGACACACTGGATGACCCATCTTCAATCTCCCCACGCAGAGACTCGGGCGTTTCATCTGCTGTGCAACGGTTTCTCCAAACGCTTTCAGGTTCTTAGTGAAATCAGCCTGTCACGCGGACACCCGTGGTCCCAGTGCGCCACCTGCCACGGGCACGGCCAGCACACACACGTGGAAGACGCCAGGGTGCGCAGAGTGGCGGGACAGCATGCGATTCTTCGCCACACCCTACCGACAGATAGGGACTTCTTGGCAACTAGCCAACTGGTTTTGAAATCAGCCTGCGACCCGGGAAGTCCCCAGCTGTCCTGGGTTTCCCGCGCACCATCGGGGCGGCACGGGGCCCCGCTGTCTCTCGGGTATGCAAGCTTTCCTTTGGAGACATGCGATGCCCCTGGGTCAAGGTGCCCTCTGCAGGGAACATCTCCCACTCGGGTACCAGTCCTGACTCAGCTGGAAACAGTGCAGGCAGGCGACCGAGGGTTCTTAGAAGATGTCCTTGACAGTGACAAACGTGTGCGGTGCCAAAGCGCCCCGGCACGTCTGCAGGTCGTCTAGTAAACGAACACGCCAGCGGATTTATACAAAGTACCCAGCGGCTTCGGGTTAGGGTCCTGGAAACAATACACGTCTGATAGCAAAGGTATACATATAATAACCCTACAGCTAGAAGTGAGCGGTCCGGGCATGCCTCTGCACCTCTGTATGCACACACGTATACTCTGCGTGTTTGCAGAATCGGGCGCACCAAGGCCAGTCTCCGCGGGCTCTTCCACTTTGAGGTCAGGGATGCCCAGTTTCCAAGTCTTAACGACCAAGCCCAGAGGTCACCGCTGAGGACAAAGGACAGGCTTGACGCACCTTCCCCTGTGCAGGACCAGGTCTGCGGGACAGTGGCAGCCGGCGACACACGGCTTACCGCAAGGCCCGATCTCATTCCAGTTGTCACACGTCTTGACACAGCCGGGGCCACAGGTGTCGTACACGGCGCCGTGCTTGCACTGGGTGGCTGAAAAGAGGAGGAGACAGACAGTGACGCAGGGCAGTGGCCGTGCTCGCTCACCCGGGCCGGTGCTGTCCCTGCAGACTCGGGTGGCCACACAGGAGCAAGGGACAAGCCCGCGCACGGTCACGTGACAAAGTTTACCTGCCAGGCCGTGAACTTCACAATAAAAAAGACAAAGATGGGAAGCTTTTTATTCCTAGATAAGACAAACGATAAATTCATCAGGCCACGAGTACGTCTGTGAGATGATTTAGAGATTTCAGGCCGTTCCTCCAGCAGGGGGCTGTGCTGGGTGGGGTGCCCTGTGCAGCCACGTCGACGTGCAAACACACACTTACGTGCATGGGGAAGACCCGCCAAGCACGCCGGCCATGCGTGGCATGTGTTAATTGTGTGCTGAATTAATCAATTCGGGGCAAGCCAGAGCGAGGAAGATCCATGTGCCCCGGAGGGAGGTGGCTGGCTGGGCCAGGGCACGTACAAGCGGTGACACGAGCACGTGGCAGGCGTGGGCTAGCTCTGCTCTTAGAGCTGAAGTGACGTGGACCGCCGCTCCAGGAGAGGCCCTGACGTGCCACGAGTAGGCTTGTCAGAACTAATAGCACAGAGATCAGCAGTTAGCATAATGGCTACGTCGCTGGACTCCCATGTAGTCGAGCGCAGTTCAAGTCCCAGACCTGGTGGCTTAAACTCACCCATGTGTGCGTGCGTGTCCAAGATCCCGAGAGGAGAATAGAGGAGAAGGGATTGCAGCGTGGCCATCCCCCCTGGGGGGTGATGTCTCGCTTTCTGTCTCTCTGTATCTCTGTCTTTCTTGTGAGCGCAGGTGTTCTATAGCAAATACCTCTCAAAAAGAGAAGAAATAACAGCATAAGTATCTGGAGGTTTTATGACACGGTGATTTCTCCACCTCAATTATTTCCAGTGAGTCCAAGGGGCCACGCCCTCGTTCCCCAAATAGGAGTGGGACAGTGCAGAGCAGGGACCTGCAAGGCCACCAATGACCACCCACCTTCACTCCATGGCTCCAAGCCAGGGAGAGGCAGAGCCGCCCCTCACACATCCTGGTCCCCTCCCTCCCAGTGGCGAGGGAGCCCGGACCACATAATTTCAAAATCAAATGGGTTTTTAAGCAAATGGACCTTACTTTGTCTTTCAAGTGAGACGCGTGGGGTCCAGGGGGTGCTGAGTGACTCTCACAGGCTCTTACTGATTAGCAGAAAAGCAGGGAGAAGCGTCTGAACAGAAGCAGTTCAACACTCGGCTCGGAGCGTCGGGCATGCTCAGCACCCCACCCAGCTGTTACCCGAGCTAAGATGCTTTGCAGGGAGGAAGGAGACACCTGCCTGATACACCAGCCGAGGTGACCGCCAGCCGCTAGAACCAGTCGGTGAAACCGAGGCCGCCCTCGAGCGAGTGCTGGCTCACTTGGCATTGCGAGGTGTCTCCTCGATGCCATTTTCCATAGACAACAGCCCTCCCACTCCTGCGAGCCTTTCCTTGCGTGTCTCTCCGCACATTCCCTGGTGGACCCTGTGTGTCCCTCTCCGCGCATACCCCGGCCACCCTGCGTGTCCCTCTCCGTGCACCCCGCCGGCCGACCCTGCGTCTCCCTCTCCGTGCACCCCGCCGGCCGACCCTGCTGAGTCTTCTCTGTCCGTGCTCCTGACGGCGGAGCTCCCACCTGCTCGGCCACCATGCGCTCAGCACCCACCGTGTCTGGCTCCTGTGAGGTGTCAGGTGTGGAACCAGCCATAAACTTCTCAATTAACACCGAGGCACGACCCGCACGCAGTCCTGACAGACAGCGGTGGGCACCGCTCACTCGCCTCTCGGGACACACCGACTACCTTCTGTCCTCTCTTTTCTTTCTGTTTTAGAAAGCGATTTTGCTGTAGAGGACATGCATTCTCTGGAGACACAGAGAGATGGAGAGATCTCCCCGACAGCCATGCCACGGTCCTCCTCCTGGACTCTCCTCTCCAAATTTTGGGCTCGCATGCACATGTACCCGCCATGAGCTCTAGGCTGCCAGACCCAGGACCCAAACCACAGTCAGCTGGGC